TATATATATATATGGAAAGTCCCTAGTTTCTGGAGGCCAGTATTCCAAATTGTTGCTCCTGAGCTAAACCAGTTAGCACATCAGGTAACAAGTGCAGTCAGATGTTAGTACGAAAAATTACAAGCTTGTATATTTTCCAACTGCTCATAGTTTTTCCATGAAAAAAAAATAAAAAGAGACTAAGCCTACTCTGGAAGGCTGTACCTCTTCACTGATTGCAAAAGGACCAAATAAGCAATGACATTTAACGTGAATAGGAATGAGCAGGCACACCTGCACTTGGCAAGAGTATTTGCCACTGAGCATGTGGTCTTTGTGCTACTTGAGAAGAATAGATGCTACTTAGTTTCAATGTATTAATTTGCACTTTTGTTAGATTTCCAGATTCAAGAATAGATAGTAATCATTGACCTACACATATGACATTTAAAGATAGGTTGACCCATGTGTATAAACATAACATTTTAGATAATCTCACCATATTTACAGATACGTGGAGAGCATAATGTTGGTCGATACTTGGCAAGGCTTGCGGAAGTAGGTGCTCCAACTTGCAGACTGTATGAGTGCCTTTCTAATCCAATCTTTACTGTCCAAGTTGATGAGTTGTTGGACCAGTGTCATGGAAAGCTAACTTTAGGAAACAATAAGTAAGTAATTGACTTTCTAGTTATGTACTTTATATTTATTATGTATATGGAGAGGCAATTTGACAGATGAATACAGATTGTGGTATGAGAGTTGGTGAATGTGTCTTGAGTTACTTGGTTACTTGGTTTAATTGATTAGGGGCTCATGCAGTGCCATTCTGAGGAACTGCCTTAGAGTGAAGATGTATGTGATGAAAAACAAGTGTATGAAATTGAGAGTAAAAGAGAGAAGAGGGAGACAGAGTTATGTAAATAATTATTCATTATTTATATCACATTCATATTTGTGTGACGATATATACTTCTCCCGTATGCTTGGTATGTTACTATAGAAATAGTTAATATATATTTTCTTGAAAATCTGAATGGTATAGAACTTATGCTATAATATTTCTTTCATGGTTGTTTCTAGAAACATGAGTATGAATTTTAACAGACTTATCCTTCTTGCAGAGAAAAGGCTGGTTTCATACACGAGCTTAATTCAAGATTGGGTGATAAAGAATTTCTTGTTAATTCAGACCTAACTTTAGCTGATGCTGTGATACTATCTACTCTACTGCAGCTGCGTATGTTGGAGTCTGCTCCTTCTAATGTTCAAAAATGGAGCAAGGGTTGTCTTATATTACCTTATTGTAAAAATCTAATCTAAAGTTTTTTTTCCATTCTGTAATGATGTATATCAATTAAAATTATAGAGCGAAAATGTTTTGTTTCTCTCTTTTGTTAAACATTTATTTTCACAGAAATGTATGACATAAATGTGGGGATTGGCAGTCTGTCTACATGAGCATCATAGATTTCTTTATTCTTGGTTGGGCTTAAAGTTGTATATTAAACTTTCTGTGAAGTGAGGTACTCCTTGAAATTATAATAAACTTAGCCAAAGTAATCAGTTTTTTTGTAAATTCAGTATGCTTGTGACTTAATGGTAATCCTTGTCATAAGGATTACCATTATGAATGGAGCTGGTAAAAGTAAAGGCAAGACTGAAATTGAGAAAACAAATTTTATGTTGCCTGATGTGTATTGTATTTATTATTCATGCATATAAGTGTGCTTGCACCTTTATGTAATTATGTATGTACATTGATTTTATATTTATTTTTTGTATGTGCTTAGTGTACTGGGCAATTGAAAGAACTGGGATGAAGAAAAAAGTTGTCTTTGAGAATTTTGGGTAATTAATTCACAATTATTGATTTTTACAATTATCTTTTAATTTAGTTACACCATATTATAGACAATGATAGCAGTCTGTCTTTCCATTAACCTGATACTTTCATGTAAATTGCCATTGGTTTCTGTGCCACAACGTAACTACATTTAGGAGCTGACAAATTCATCTAGTGTCCCTCCCTCAGAGAAGAGCAACTGGAATTTGGTTGGTTAAGTGTGAGAGTAGTCATGCTCAGATGTTGGCCTCAGTGAGTCTGTTCAACTTTAAATTTTCTTTTCCTAATTTTATAACATAATATATGACTCTTATGATGAATTTGTCACCTAGAAGACAATAATAGACAATAAGTTGCACAAATTACTGACCAACATGACATAATAGTTACATAATTGTGATTGCAGAAAGTGCAGAGGAAATTTTGGGGGACCATCATTATTTTGAGAAATCAAGAGAAGTATAGGTGGCCCTGAATGGGTTATATATAATTTGTTTTGTTTTGATTTTTTATTTGTTCATCTTTTTAAGATCACAACAAGTATTTTATTTATAAAACTTCATTCACTTTTTCTGTATTGAGAAATTGATGATCATTCCCCATGAATTAATAAATTACGTCAGTGTTTTCCTATATTTTCTGCCCTGCCTGATTGTATATGTAAATGTCTGCTAACCTACTGTATAATCTATATTATAACTATTTAAACAACTATTAAATCCTATCCATTACCTAGTAGGAATGCTCAAAGAATTTTAGAAATACTCATATATATAAATATATAACATGATAAAATGTTTAATGAGGTAAACAGGAGCAAGAATAGGGGCCTTTAATAAAGGAATTAGAAATGCAAATGGTATTCTTTATAGAAAATGAACATTTTATATTACCAAAGTGCTCTAGGTCAGGATGAAGTAGAATCATTATATAAGGAAAATTTCATTATTATATTGTTTAATATATTTTGATCATAATTGGTTTTCAATTGAGTTTTGAAGGCTGAATATTGAATCTGAAGTTCTTTTTAATGTTTGAACTGTTATGTAATATTAGTTATGACATTTTACTTTTATTGCTATTATTTATTTTTATTATTTTTCATTCACCATTCAAAATTGACAAAAAATACATGTATTTTAGTTATTGCCAGTATTAAATTTAATTTTCAATGTGTAATCATGTTAAGGTATTCCCAGATTGTAGAAGAATGTTAATTCTAGGTTATTACATGTTTCAATTTGTCATGGGATATGCTTGATTTTTAACATATATTTTGTCACCTAGATTTGAGATAAACACATCAGTCAGGTACTTTAATTTTTAGATAGCACAGATCATTCTGTATTTTTTTTCCTTTTTGAAAATATCACAATTTAGCTAAATGAGAGAGTGAGCAGGTTACACAAAATTCCATATTAAAATGATTAAATTATTGTGATGAGCTTCTTAAGTGAATGTTATGAAGTTAATTTTTCTGTAATCCTGTTATTAAAGATTAAACTATGAAAAGGATTTGAGGCTCATTATCCTGGTGATAAGCATTACAGTAAAATCAACTGTTTGTATACCAAACAGTATTGTAAGATATCCCATATATTTACACTGTGAAATATTCAGCTATGGGGGATACCCTGAGAAACAGTGCCCAGTTATATAAAGAATTTGGAGGTCTGTAACATAGGATTAGTCTAGAGATGAAGTAAGCTCTTTTGAAAGAAATATTTCCGTAAAAAATACCATTAATATATAAAAATCTATTCTAACAATTCAATTTGAATTCTACATACCTCTTGCTCACTACCAAAATGCCATATTCCATGCATGTGGCTCTCTTTCAAATCATTCTTTATTAGTGTAAGGTAACCTGCATTTTGAAAATATTGTGCTATGAGGTTATAATCGTCTGCAATGATCAGCGAACTATACTTTCCAAATTTCCTTGCACTCTGTTGTAATTATAATGCTATTTGTGATTTCGAAGTCAGTTTTCAGCTTTCAGCTGTTTAGTCCTTCAATCAGGTCTTTATCTTTCAATTAAGTGGCAAGAAAAAAAAAATCATTATATAAGATTTATTAAATAAGATTTATGCCATCTCTTCAGCTGCTGGGAGACGTCTCGTCTGTCTTGTGGCTTTCGAAGCCAACAAATTTAGCCTTTTGGAGGCCTTCTTCGGGAGCCCTTCTTTCATGGGGTAACGGAAGAGTACGACTGCTATCAACCACCGGACTCGTAGTACCCCCCCAATCCCTTGCCTGTTGTCGTTGGGGGGCTTAGGAGANATATATATATATAATATATATATATATATAATATATATATATATACATATATACATATATATATATATATATATATATAATAATTATATATACATATACATATTATATATTATAATATATATATATATATATATATAAATATATATATTATATATATATATATATATATATATATATAATATATATATATATATATATATATATATATATATATATATATATATATACACACACACACACACACTATATATATATATATATATATATATATATATATATATATATATATATATATATATATAGATATAGATATAGATATATATAATACTATCCCCCCTCAACAACACTCCCTCTTCCACACGTCCCCGTCCTTCTACCACCACCAACCCTACAGATATCTTAAATACTCTATTTAGCCCAGATAAATGGGACCGATTTTTTGTGATCCCCCCTACAGCTCCTTACTAAGGCAACACTTCACTTTCATCAATGCCTCCAAAAACAAGTGGGCAGAGTCCCGACGCGATCGTTCCCGTCTCGTAACAGTCACATCTGAAACCGAAGCTAAAGCATTATCAAATCTAACTGACCTCTGACAACCCCATTCCTGCAGAACCTCATCCAACTCTTAATACTTGCACCAGAACTGGCACTATCTCCCTAGCAAGCTGCACTATGGATATCGATTGGTCAGATTATGGAGAATACTCGACTGCCTTAAAGACCGTGATGTGATATCAGTACATTGCTACTCCATTGCTCCTAGAGGTCATCGAAAGAAACCCACCAGCATTGCCAAAATTACTTTCCGTACACATGACCTTCCCTTCCGTATCTATATTGGTGGACAATCACCCTTTTCGACCATACCAACCTCCTCCCCGTCAATGTCAAAACTGTTGGCGCTTTGGACGTCCTGCCTAACACTGCCGTTCCACAGACCGATGCCCCCTATGTGCCCAACCCAGACAGGAAGTACTCCGACAAGGTTTCTCTCATACTCTCTACTCTAGTAATGTCGCTCGTCCTGCCCCTCCCCCTCTACCCCAAGATGTATCTATACCCTCCCCTATTCCTACTTACTTCCCCACTTCCACTTCTACATTCTACCTCCCCCAGTCAAATTCTTTTGCCACTCTAAATCCAGTCACTCCAATCTCAACTACAGCCCCAACACCATCCCCTCTCCCTCCCCGCACTACCCGCAGCAGACAGACTAAACGTTCCACCCCTTCTTCCCCTACCCCACACTCACCTCCACCTACCTTTGCCTTCATTCCTCAGACACCAGTTTCCTCTTCCCCCCTCGTAAGAAAACCTTTGTCTCACATAACTCTCTAACCTACTCCAGAAACAAAGGAAGATATTCAAAGCTATATGCTTGAGACACAAAATTCCACAACTCGTGCTCCCTCAACACTCGAAGTGATTGCCGATATCCATCCTCCTCCTACTCACATTCCCCCTACATCCCTCCTTCCTCCTCAACCCCTCCCGCTCAACTCCAACTACACGTACATTCTTCCTCCCTCCATCCCCTCTATCATTTCCATTTCCTCCTGGATACACATTGGAAACACATGTAATTCCCTTACCTAAGCCCACCATAGCCCGTTCACACAGCAACTCTACCTTTCAAGATTACTTAGATAATTGGCGCATAGCAACTATCACCCTTCACCCCTCCTTTAATATACTTTCCTATAGTGCTATATGACAGATGTCTAGCACATTTATTTTGCTTTTTAACAATTAACAATTAACCATTTATGTATGCTTATATATATGTTTATGTATATATATATAATATATATATATATATATATATATATATATATATATATATATATATATATACTGTATAATGTTGAAGGGTTTCACTTAGTCGCTGAAGGGTTGGGCCGAGGTCTTCTGCGGGCACTCAGGAATGAAGGGACCGGGAATTTCAGCCGAGCTGCGCCACGGAGGAGCCGAGGGCGAGGGGCCTACGGGCGCGCGGGCGGCCCTCGGCGTCAGAGTCTCCTGACGGGCGGCGTAGGTACAAGGTGTGAATCGAGGAACTTTCTCAGCACGGCGACCAATTCCTGGTTGCTCTGCAGCCTGCCAGCCCCCACCGCGAGCTGCAGGATCTGCAAAAGGGAACGAGATGATACGCCTTCTGCAACGCCCTCACCGGGCCTTGTCGTGCACACAGACCAGCGAGAGCGGACGCCCCTCGGCGCGCCGGCCCGACTCCTACCCTGCACATGCGTCCGGAATCGTCGTAGCGCTCATCCCGCGAGAGGCCGGTCAGGGTCGCCCGGTCGACGCCCAGGGCCTCCCCGACGGCGCGCCAGCAGTGTGGGCGGCCCCGCACCGCCGCGCGCACCACTGCAACGGGAAGATGGGTGGCCAGATAGATTGAACGGGTAAATAGGTGGATATAGGCAGATGTAGATAAATGTATAGATGGACTCACAGTCGCGCAGTTTCTTTGCACGAAGTTCGAAGAACAGAAACATGGCTGCACTACTCACACACATCATCGATGTCAGGGCCGGCCAGGTACCCTGCCGCAGGGAGGAGATCGCCAGGGCGGATGGGGATCAGGGTGGGCAGCCGGGGCGCAGAGCAGCGTGAGAGCAGGGTGCAGGCGCGCGCAGGGCCGGTGCAGTCAGGGCAACGGCAAAGTCGAAGGGCGGAGAAGCGTGCAGGGAGGGAGGCGGAGTGAGAGCATGTGGGAAACTGACATTCCGGGAAGAGAACACAGCAGGGAGCATAAGGGCAGTATGAACACAGACACGGGCAACAGACCGCGGCAGCGGCCGTGCCAGGCGCAGCCACTCACTGTCAAGCCGCTCCGAGAAGGACAGGTCTATTCGGCGGAGGTGCTGACGCAGGGCTTCCACGGAGGCGCCGGCGGCAGCGGGGTGCCTCAGCACCTGGGGAGGGGGAGGGGGGTGGGAGTAGGAGAGGAAAGGGAAAAGGGAAGGTGGAGGTGGAAGGCAGAAAGGGGAGGTAAAGGGGAAGGGGCGGGGGTATAGGAAGAGGTGGAGAGGGAAAGGAAAAAGGGGAGGTGGAGGTGGAAGGGAAAGGGAGAAAGAGGGAGGTGGAGGTAGGAGAAGGGGGAAGGGAAGACGAAATTAGAAAGGGGTATAGGGAAGGTAGGGATGGAAGGGAGAGGGAGAGGGAGGTGCAGTGATGGGAAAACCTGGGTGGAGGGGATTACTGGGAAGGGCGATAAGAGGGTAGACTCGGGGGATTGGGAAGGGAGTTTGTTGTAGGAACCGCTCCTTGGGGGTAATATGGGCGGAGCGCCCCGTCCGACACATCATTATTGGAAGAGAATATACGGGAGAAGCCGGAGATGGTGCAGGGGGGGCGGAAGCGAGAAGGAAAGGTTGAATGGGAGGAGAGGATCCTAGGAGGAAAGTATAAACGAGGGGAAGACAAGAAGGAACTTGGCGAAATACAGGACAATTTTAATATGTGGACATATACTAGGCAATCCACTTTCACCACGTATGAGCAGCGGCACTTCTGAACCCATTCAGTGCAATCCTTGGACTATGCCAAAATAAAGCACTGTTGATTATAGAACTGAAGAACTCTTGTATAACTTGCCAGATGGTTCAGTGGGAGTTAGCTACCTCTCTATAAATGTGTCAGTTATTAATCGTAGCGTAATGCCATAAAATTTTTTTTCCTTAAGGGCCTCGCTACACATGGGTCACTTTCTAAAATTAGGTAGCGATGTGTATGAGGGGTGCGAATGGGGATAAGGGGCTTTATACTTAAATTGAGTTGCGAGGGGCCATGAAGGAGGTCCAGTAACGTTGAAAGAAAGGAGGGAGGGAGGTTGCCACAGGAGTGTGGTGTCATGCGTCTATGTGGCTCACGAACGCTATAAACGGAGCTAAAGCCACTCAATGGTTATCAGACCAGCTGAATTCATGTGGAACGAATGAATGATTGTCACCAGGGGTTATGGTCGGGAACGTAAGGAAGATGGATGCTTCTATTGGTCAACAAGCATATATGGGTCGCGTTGTCAATCAGAGTTAATTCGCCTTGATCGAGAACAGTTTCTCTCAGCCAATAACCCATATGGCTGAGCGTTTGATCATAGAATTAAATGTCAGGTTTAATTGGCTCGAACCCGTAATCCTAGGCTAGTGCTTAGGGTCTGCATAGCTTTTTAAAATTTCTCTATTCCGTTTGTTATTTTCTCGTTTATATCTTCCTATGTTTTC